AGACCTAGCTCAGAGGTTAGGACCAGTTGTTGATCTTGCACAGGATCCAGGAATTCCCAGAACCACATGGGGGCTCACAACTGTCTGTAACTCCAGTTCCAGGAGATCTGTCATCCTCTTCTGCCTTCTCTGGGCGTCAGGCATGCCCATAGTACACATACATACATGCAGGCAAAACACTCATACACAAAATTAAATAAAAAATTAATTAAATCAAATGTTTAAATGCAGGTAGTTTTTTGTTTGTTTGTTTGTTTTTGTTTTTTCGAGACAGGGTTTCTCTGGGTAGCTTTGGAGCCTATCCTGGCACTCGCTCTGGAGACCAGGCTGGCCTCGAACTCACAGAGTCTGCCTGCCTCTGCCTCCCGAGTGCTGGAATTAAAGGTGTGCACCACCAACGCCCAGCTAAATGCAGTTAGTTCTTATCACAGACTCTACAGTTATTTGTTCAAAAATAAAGAAAAAGAAAAAAAGTCTGACTCCAAATGAATTATAATTGCTGAGGGGGGATTTAAAACTGTGTACTCTATGGAGCATCTAGGCTGATTCTAACACAGCCTAGATCTTGACAGAAACAAGCAAAATGCTAGATTTCCAAAGACTCTAGCACAAGTCTAAGAAATAAAATAATTCCTAACTAAATGATACATGGGAAAGGTGAAGAAATGTAAATGAGCATATAAAAACTACAGCAATATAAAAATTTGCCAAGAATCAATGTAGCAATGAAGTTCAATTCCTTTTTCCCCTTATACAAATAGATGGTTCTAAGACAGTCCAGTCTACTTACTGTAGTTGATCCAGTATTAAGGCACTCCTTTCCTACTCTGTAATAATTGTTTGGACGCTTCTTATTTCTTGTATTACAATGTTTCTGTGAGACGATAGGTTCTGGCCTTCAAGGAACCATTTCAGAAACAAATATCAAAGCAATATTTACTGCTGCCTCAAAACTAATTAGTAGCATCATGATAATAAAATTAGCTGGATTACACAGAAACCATAGTTATAGCCATTAATGGGCCCTTCTGACATTAGAACATAAAATATTAAGCCTATCTGTCATAGGGTTTCTATTACTGTGATAAAACACTGTATTCAAAAGCAATCTGAGGAGGAAAGGTTTTTTGTTTGGTTTTGGTTTGTTTTGGTTTACACTTCCAAATCACTGTTCATCATCAAAGAAAGTCAGGCCAGGAACTCACACAAGGCGAGGAACCTGAAGGCAGGAGCTGATGCAGAGGCCAAGGAGGGGTGCTGCTCACTACCTTGCTCCTCATGGCTTGCTCAGCCTGCTTTATATAGTACCCAGGACCACCAGCCCATCAGCAGCAACCTTCTGGGACCTTCTGTCATCAATAACTAATTTTAAAAATGCTCCACAGCTGGATTCCCCCCCCCCCCCAAAAAAAAAAACAGGGTTTCTCTGTGTAGCCCTGGCTGTCCTGGAACCTGTTCTGTAGACCAGGCTGGCCTTAGAACTCAAAAAGATCTGAGTGCTAGGATTAAAGACGTGTGCCACCGCCCCCAGGTTTATATAGCTAGATCTCATGGAGACATTTTCTCAATTGAGGTTCCCTCCTTTCAGGTAACTCTTGCTTATGTCATATTGACATAAAACTAACCAGCTCACCATCATCTTAACTCCATTTATACATATTTACCAATGGGAGTTTTATTTATTTGTCTCAAAAAAAAAACAAATAATAAACAAAACTCCCAGTGGTAAATATATATAAATGGAGTTTCTAGGTCATGTAATGATGTAAGAAATCAGTTATATTTTTATTTTATTTTATTTTTTGAGACAGGGTTTCTTTGTATTGCTTTGGAGGTTGTCTTGGAACTTGCTCTGTAGACCAGGCTGGCCTCAAACTCACAGAGATCCGCCTGCCTCTGCCTCCTGAGTACTGGAATTAAAGGCATGCACAACATCAGTTATATTTTAATAAATGAAATTAAAGCTTTAAAAAAATGTCTCCTGAAAATTTCAAAAGTAGCAACTCTAGTTAAACCTAAGCTTTAAAAAAATTATTGAAAATTTTGATAATGGAAATTAGATTGTGAAGAAAAAAATTTAAGATGATGGTGAGCTGGTTAGTTTTATGTGTTAAGAGTCCATGGTGGGAGAACAAGGGAACATCTAAGAGCTCACATCTTTATCCACAACCATCAGGCAGAGGTGCTGGGGATCTTTTCAAACCTCAAAGTCAGGCTCTAGTGACAAGACCATACCTCCTAATCCTTCCCAAACAGTCCACCAACTAGGGACCAAGTGGTCACACATGCAAACACCCATATATACATGCATACCACATGCACATACCCCCCTCCCCCCCAAAAAAAAAACCTTTATCAAAATGAAAATATCAAATGTTCATGAGAATAATGTACAACTAAATCCTGATACAAAACTGATAAAAGTGCAAAATAATATAACCATTTCAGAAACCAGTGTCAGGGTGTATTAGTTGAGTTTGAGGGGGTGGACTCTTAGGGGGAGGTTACCATAATAAAATACTTGAGACTGGTTCTTACAGAAAAAGCAATATATTTGACCCACCCACTGTGGTAGATTAAGCTCACAAAAGGAAGCTAAAAGTCAGTAAGGGGTCACTATAACAACCGCCCCATTAGACCTACTTCTAAAAGACCCTACCACTTCTTATTATCACCTGACTATGGGCTAAGCTTCCAACACAGAGCTTTCAGGAGATACAATCAGACTATAACCAAATCATAACATGTCCCTTCTCATAAAGTTACATATTTATTTACCAATCACAACCTCACTGTTAGCTATTTAGTCCAAAAAACTAATTTATGTTCACACTAAAACCTAACACAACTTTCCTTTTAACTGCCAAAAAGGAAATACTTCAAAAATGGCAACCCTATGTTTGTAACACAGCCATGGAGTGAAACACCACTCAGAAGTAAACGGATGGCAGGACAAGGTTGATGTAAGCAGTACATGGATGACTTCTCTGCATTCTGTTAAGAAGCCTAGCTCAGAAGGCTACCCAAATCAGGCGGTGGTGGCACACACCTTTAATCCCAGCACTCAGAGGGCAGAGTTCGAGACCAATCTGATCTACAAGAGCTAGTTCCAGGGCAGGCTCCAAAGCTACACAGAGAAACCCTGTCTGGGAAAAACAAAAACAGGCTACACTGAAGCCAAATGTGGGGGGGCACAGGCCTCAAAAAGGATCTCTGTGAGTTCCAGGCCAGGCAGGGATACACAGTAAAATCTTATCTCAAAAAGGAAGAGCTACATAGCCAAAGGATTCCATTTATGACACTCTAGAACAAGCAAAATAGAGATGGGGATATCAGCAGTTGCCACTGGACCAGAGATCAATTTCAAAGAAATAAAAGAGGAAATGTTGCAGGCTTGTAGAACCTTTTTGTATCATTACTGGGATGGTGGATATATGCTTAACATTTATTTTTAAAACAACTATAAACAAGGGTGAATTTTACTCTAAGTAAACTTTAAATACATAAATTTGATAAAACTGTATTCTACACAAACCTGCACCTTGAATATAAAAGCACCATTTCACTACAAATCAAACCACAGTTCATGCAGGTTTTTTTCTTGTTCTTTTTTATTTTTTTCCTTTATTTTTATGTGTATGGGTGTTTTACCTGTGTGTATATCTGTGCACCACATGCTTGCATGCAGTGCCCCAACCCCACCCCAGCCAGAAGAGGAAGGCGAATGCCCTGGGACTGGAACTACAGATAGTTGTGAGATGTCACTAGGAATTGAACCCAAGTCATCTGGAAAACGAGCCACTGGTCTTAAACACGGAACCAAGCCTCCAGTCCCCCGTTAAAGTATTTTAAAGGCTTTTTTCCCTGAGGTATAGAGGCCAGTTTTGTTATTCTCCCTTCGCACCGGAGAAGCAGCACAGATTAAGCAATCTGCAAGCGGCTGGTCTCAAAAAGGCTGTGCTAGCACTTATGGATCAATGTTCGCCCACTTTATCATGGTAGAAGGTAACTAAAACTACAAGAGGGTGTGTTTGTTTAATAAAACTAAAATTCCTGCTTACATTATTTCAAAAATGAGAACACTCAAGATAAACGAGTATTTCTAGAAAGCTGGAAGTACTTGCATATCCGAGAATGCGCACACCATTTACACAAATAATTAGCCCTAATTTTAACCTGGAACACTCATTTCAAAAATTACTAGTAGCTACATAAACAAGAGCATAATACAGAAGGAGGCACTAAAAATAAGAAACTAGATCAGGCAAAGCACTGCAGTAAAGTGCTTTACCTTAGTTCCAGAGGTGAGAGAAAGCTCATGTCTTCTTCAAGTTGACCGAGATATCGAACTCCCATTTAGATTTTGACCGTCTGTTTTCCTGCATTTTCTTTTTCTTCTTTTCCTTTTTTTTTTTTTTTTTAATTCAGTCTTTTACTCGGGCCCACAAACACCCACATTCTCACCTGGTTAAGCTGCGACCTGAACACAGAAGCAACTAACTCTGTGTTGTTTTACTCTGAAAGGTGATTTCCTTTTTTTTTTTTTTTTCCCGTCCCCCTCCTTATCAGCCTACCCCGGCTAAGCAACCCCCAAGTCCAAGTTCAGTGGCCGGAACTCGCCTAGAAAACACGGCCAAGAGCAGTCGGGAAGGGACGAAGGGAGTCTTCGCGGACAGCGCCTGGCCTTTCACGTGTGGGGCGGCGTGTGACACGCCGCGGGCTCGGCGGAGCCTTCGTTACAGCCCCGGGTGGGGAAACTGACAGGGATGGCCTCCTCGCCCGGCAGAGGCCAGAGGTCACCAGCGTCTGGCCACACCGGGACGGGAGGCTGAAGCCGCGCTGCCCGCCCGAAAACCGCCGCCCCGCTTTACATAACTTGAAGGGCGAGGCGGGCAGCTGCGGGCGAGGCGGGGGGCTGCCGGGGGTGGGGCCGGGCCGGGGCCG